CCGGGCAACTTGGTGAAGCCTCGTCTCTACAGTAAATCACAAAATCTAGCTGGATGTGGTGGCATGTGTCTGTAGTTCCAGCTACTTGGAAGGCTGAGGTGGAAGGATCCTCTATACCCAGAAAGTCAAGGCTGTTGTGACTGTGAGCGTGCCACTGCACTCCAGCCTGGGTGACAAGAATGAGACTCCAACTCAAAATAATAATAATAATAATAATAATAATTCAATGATAGTTTTCTATAACCACTTTATTGGTGAAAAAACCTAGGGTGAGCAGCATGTAATGACTTATGCTTTGTCTATAATCCTTGGCATCTTGTGCATATCTGTGAGAGCAGTTATCTCATAGTGCCGCAGTTGTTTGTTTCCTTGGCCTTCCCTCTCTACTGCCTCCCTCTCTCTCTTTCTTTAAATAGCCCATTTACTGAGCATCTCTTATGTACTAGAGTTTGTGGATGTTGGGTGGATGAGCCAACAGTTACTGCCTCGTGGAGCTAATGTTCTTATGGGAAATATAGACCAGAAACAAATGAAAATGTTAAATAGATGGTAATAAATGCTATGAATACAATTAAAGCAGGGAAAGGAAATAGAAAGTGATGAGGTGCTATTTTAGAATGAGTGATCCGGAAGGGTCTCTTCGAAGAGGTTTTGAGCAGAGACCTAAGTGAAATAAAGGATACAAGTCACAAATATCTGGGGTGAGGACATTTTAGGCAAAAGAAATAGCAAACAAGTACAAGGCTTTGAGATGGGAACACACTTTTCAGGATATTTCAGGAGCAGTATGGAGACCAAGGTGACTGGCAAGCAGCAAGTAATGGAAAGAATGGTATGAAACGACAGTAGGAGTAGTAGTCAAGGGCCACATCGTGTGGGGCTTTGTAGGACTTTAGGTTTTATACTGAGTGGTGGGAAGCCTTTGAATCGTTGGGAATAGAGAAGAAACATGAAGTAGATGAAGTAGATTTCTATTCTAAAAGGATTCCTATGGTTACTATATTAAGAGTCGACTACAGAGGTAAAAGCAGAAGAGAGGTCAAGTTAGAAGTCTGTTGCAATGGTTCATGCAAAGGGTGGCAGTGGCTCATAATGATTAGGTGTTAGTGATGGACAAAGAGAGAGATGACTGGATTACAGTGTATAACTTCTTAGGAGCCCAGACATATGTGATTCACCATTTCCCCAGGACTTACCACGGGGACTGATACTTAGTAGGTGCCTAGTTCTTTGTGTCGAGTAGCTAAAGTAAATACAGGTTTCTTGTTTCTTTTCCATACACTTTGCTGCCATTGAAAGATTTTGCAAGAGGTCTTCATGGTGATATAATCTTAACATGGTGGCTGTGGACTACTATAGTACTTTTTAAACTGGTCAGCCTGCTTCTGTTATCTATAGGTTCAGCCCAAACCAGCAAGTATTTTGCAGGAGAGGCTAAAATTATCCAGAAGACAATAGCTTAGATACTAAATAGGAAAATGCCCACTTCACAAACTCAACTTATAAAGTAGTAAGCCCTTACATTTACATAGCATTTTTATTTTACAGAATATGTTCACAGCCAATCTATGAAGCTATTGATACTTTTACTATTTTATACACTGAAACTCAGACATTAAGTAATTTAGTTATAATCACAGAGCCAGCAAGTAACACATCCCCCAAATCAAATATTACATCTTCAAATCCTTTACTCTTTTTACCATGTATATTAATTTATTTACCAAGCAAGCATCTGTTGAATATATCATGCAACTGTGATAGATACTGAGGATGCTGGCCTTGTAGGAGCATACAGTCTATTGAAGGAATCAGGTAAGAAAATCAGGCTGGGCTCATGACTCAGCCTGTAATTCTGTGCTTTAGAAGGCCAAGGTGAGTGAATTGCCTGACCCTGCGGGTTCGAGACCTGCCTGGGCAACTTAGCGAGACATCATCTCTACAATAAATCAAAAAAATTAGCCGGGCGTGGTAGCACATACCTGTAGTTCCAGCTCCTTGGAAGGCTGAGGCGGAAGGATCGCCAGAGCCCAGCAGGTCGAGGCTGCGGTGGCCAGGAGTGTGCCACTGCACTCCAGTCTGGGTGACAGAGTGAGACTCCAACTCAAAAAAAATAAAAGAAAATCAAAGATTTTAATAAAGTATGATAAATGCTGTAATAGAATTAAGCACAGGGCATGTTTTAGTTTTGTACGTACAGTTACTAAAATATAAGTATTGTTGCCAGTATTCTAGTAGTTACCTGAGTGTGCATTTTGTGTTTTCCTATTCTGGAAAATGAATTTTTGAATTAAAATAGCATGGCAATGTAATAACATTTGTTGTTTATTTTGATAGACACAGAAGTCTATACAATGTAGTCTTCTGAAATCCATAAGCTGTCTGACATAGCTTTTGAGTCCCAGTTTTCTAAATGCTTTCTCCTAAATTCAAAAATGGTTACATTTATTTTAGGATGACCTAGGTCTTAATTCTGCCTTTGCAATGGAACTAGCTTGATAGTTATATAGTTAAAGAAAGATGTATGGGAAGACAGAATTTGGTTCCAAGGAATGCCAAGACTTTAGAATTACCCATTTTAGTCAAAATTTTATGTTGGAATGTAGGTTATGATAAAGTCAGAAGTAATTGTAATACCACATCGACGGGAGAAAAGAGTAGAACCACCATGGACCTCTGATTTAAAACATAAATTATTTTTTCTTTTGTGGTCTTCTCTTGCTTAAGTAACTTATTTCTTCTTTTTAAAATATGTGTTTGAACAAGTGAGAAAGTACACCTGTCAAAAGACTAACCATCTGAGAACCATTGTCAGCATTAATTTTTCTTTAATAAATGAGTCTCTGAAGCTATTTAAGTAGTCTGTAATCTAGATACAAAGCTATTGATCTATGATGGATAGCGCTGGATTTGTTTGTAAACTTTGACTTAAATTGTCTCCTTAATTTCTCTAGGTCAGATCAACAGGATTAGATGGAAGGGTGATGGCTATATGGTTTGAATAAAAATGGCTTTAGAAATTGAGCAAAATAATTCTAAAACAGTAATCATTCCACATCTTGGTGAAGTAAAGTAGAAGCTAACAAATGACAGTCATTTAAATGTTAACATTTTCAGAATGTTCAAATGACATAGTTTGGCTAATTGAAAGCATTTTTTTAATAATTGGGTTTTTGTACATAAGCCATTCCAAAGTATATCTGAAGATATTGTAAAATAATGTCGTGTAACCATATGTGTAAGCATCTCAGGCTTTTATAACATGTGGGCATTCAGTCTCCCAAGATTGTTTGACTAACATAGTGTTGACTTCTTACGCTTTTAACAATTGGTTAAGAATAATATGAACTATAAAATAGAAAGCTATTATACTATACTGTACTATACTATACTATACTATATACTTGATTTGGTAACAGCAAAATATTCACAATTTGAATGAAATAGGGATCTCTTCACATGAACTTTTTTGTAAAAAAAAAAAGTATAAATACTGTATTTCATTGAATAAATTAAATTCAAAAGCAGACCATTATTTGCAACTGTCTGTTCGAATGACTAGGTTTGATGCATAGTACAGACAAGTACAGTTTCTTTATTCCTAGCTATACTGTAAAATAAGTTGTAAAGGCAAAAAATTCTACTAGTATAGCTCTTCCACATACTTTCCTGGGAAGTTTTGCACAACAAAACCTAACTTGAAAATTATGAATTGAGATTTTTCTGAATTCTAGAACCAGTAATAATACTCTTCGTTTTATTTTATAGTTAATAAAAATTTAGATGAACGAAGCTTCTTTCTTCCCCTTTTAGAACAAGTCAAGACCATGTTTTCTGTTAGTAGTTAGAAGTTGTTTCTTCATTTGAATCAATGAACATGCGTTAAGCCTTTGTTAAAACTTGCTAAGAGCTGGCTCAGTGACTCAGTCTATAATCCTGCGCTTTGGGAGGCTGAGGTGAGTGGATTGCCTGAGCCTGCGAGTTCAAGACCCACCTGGGCAACTTGGCGAGACCTCATCTCTACAGTAAATCAAAAAATTAGCCGGGCATGGTAGCACGCACCTGTAGTTCCAGCTACATGGAAGACTGAGTGGAAGGATCGCCAGAGCCCAGCAGGTCGAGGCTGCTGTGACCAGGAGCGTGTAACTGCACTCCAGTCTGGGCGACAGAGTGAGACTCTAACTCAAAAAAAAAAAAAAAAAAAAGTTGCTAAGGAGTAGCCAAACCAGTGTCAGAATTTATTTCTTCTTTCTGCTTATATCACTAGGAATATATTGCCCAAAAGGTGTATTGCAGGAAGCAAAAGAAAAATCAAATAATATTGGAAAGTGTACATGAAAATAATGAGTCTAAATAAACAACGGTTTTCTTTACGTTAAAAAAATAGTCTTACCATCTGAAATGCCTATTTGTTAATGGAACAGAGAGCCAGGTCTCTCTCTTTGTTGATCTCATCTGTAGATAGTATTTGGAGAGTGAGCAAGTGAGCCAGAGACTCTAAATCTAAACTTTGGCTGCAGACCCCTCTAGCTGCTCCTTTGCTGGTCAGGGCCCAGGTAAACCTTTTTTGTATACTTTGTATTTACTGAATACATTTCTTAGGAGAAGAATAGATACATGGAGATAATAAAATTAGTATTTCAAATTCCCATATCTATTATGCCATGATTATACCAAAATGATTAAGGCGAATTGAGAATGAGAGTATGACTGAATCTGTATATCCCTTTTGGTTTGTGATTAACCTGAGTGACACTTGATTACTGAATATTTTTTGTAGAGATTTAGAGTATCTTTAGTAAAAGGCAAAAGATGTATACGATTTGAAGAGAAACCAGAGTATAGAGATTTAGAGTGTCTTATATATGCCTGGCATAAATAGAATTTAGAGGCAGAATGTTTTCATTTGGTTTGGGGATTTTCTCTGATTTTACTGTCTACTTAGATATTTTAAGAAATGTTTCCTTGTGCTTCTATCTCCTTACCCCTAAACAATTCAGGTGTAGGAGCTGCTCGGTCTGGGAACCTCACATTTATGGTAGGAGGAGTTGAAGATGAATTTGCTGCTGCCCAAGAGTTGCTGGGGTGCATGGGCTCTAATGTGGTGTATTGTGGAGCTGTTGGGACTGGGCAGGTAACATTTTCACATTAATGATCTTGACTTGATATAAAATTAGCTAATGTTCTATTTTATTTTCTGATCACATTCTTATTCCTCTCTACTCTGTTTAATTTATGGATTCTTTGTTCAGATTTTTAAAAATCTCTTTGGAATAAATTAGTTTTCTGTCATTCCTGGTGGGCTTAAGCAGTCATCAGTAAGCCAATTTACTTATTTTAAAAAGATATCAAAAGTTCCATTATTAGGATCTTGACATGTTATCCCAGTGAGTACTAAATAATCATTACAGTGACTTCTATTTGAAGTGAGTGTTGTATGAGTTGCTAATATCCTTCATCTAATTTTGTAGTTACAGTTGACCCTTGAACAACACTGGTTTGAACTGTGTGGGTCCACTTATACACAGATTTTTTTTTCAATAAATACATTGAAACTTTTTTTTTGAGATTTGCAGCAATTTGAAAAAACTCACACGGCCTAGAAATATTGAAATAATTAAGAAAAAGATACTAGTCTACAAATATACACATCTATTATAAAAAGTTAAAATGTATTGGAACTTAAAAACACAGCATACATGGTGCTATTCACAGTCAAGAGAAATGTAAACAAATGCAAAGTGTAAAACTGTCATATTAAATCATAACTGCATAAAATTAACTTTAGTACATACTGTACTACTATAATAATTTCGTAACCACTCCTGTTGCTGTTGCAGTGAGCTCAAGTATTGCAAGGATCTGCTCAAAATGTTGTGTGACACTAATAGCCTTTGTGTGAGTGGTTCATCTCTTCAGTAAATTGCATATCACACTAAAAAGTGATCTCATAGTTTTCGCTTATTTTTCATCATGTTTAGTGCAATACTGTAAAGCTTGAAAGCACATATGAAGTGATGCCAGAAGTACTCCCAAGAAGCAGAGAAAAGCCATGACATTACAAGAAAACGTTAATTGCTTGATATATACCATAGATTTAGGTTTGCGGTAGCAGACCCACCATTTCAAGATAAATGAATCCAGCATAAGGACCAATTGAAAAAGAAAAGACTATTCATGAAGCTGTCACTGCAGCTATTCTAGCAGGTACAAAAACCTTGCACTTTTTGTGAAATACCTCTTTATTTTGTATTGAAAATGCAGCTTGTATGTGGGTGCAGGATTGCTATAAGAGAAGCGTAACTATATCTAATATGATTCAAGAAAAAGTGAAGTCATTATATGACAACTCAAAGCAAAAGGAAAGTAAACCTTTAAGTCTGGAGAATTTAATACCAGCAAAGGATGGTTTGATAATTAAAGGAAGAGGTTTTGCTTAAAAACTGTCAAGATAACAGAAGAAGTAGCTTCTGCTAACCAAGAGGCAGCAGACAAGTTCCCAGGTGCTATTAAGAAAATCGTTGAGGAGAATAGGTAAAACTACCTGAACAGACTTTTAATTCAGATGAAAGTACCCTATTCTGGGCAGTATGTATATATGTGTGTGTGTGTGTATATATATATATATGTATATAAATGTCCTCCAAAGGATGTTTACTAGTAATGAAGAGAAGAGAACAACAGAATTTAAGGCAAGAAGGAATAGGCTAACTCTACTGCTTGTGCAAATGCAATTGGATTTATGATCAAGACTGCCCTTATCCATAAAGTTTCTGACCCCTGTGCTTTGAAAGGAGAAGATAAAACACCAGCTGCCAGTCTTACGGTTGTACAATAAGAAGGCCTGGACAATGAGAACTCTTTTTTTTGATTGGTTCCATCAATGCCTTTGTCCCTGAAGTTGGGAAATACCTTGCCAGTAAGGACTGCCTTGTAAAGTTCTTTTGATGCTGGGTAATGCCCTTGGCCACCCAGAATCACAAGTTCAACCCTGATTGCGTTGAAGTGATCTACTTGTCCCTAAACACAGAATTTCTTTCTTTCTGTCTTTTTTTTTTGAGTTAGAGTGTCACTGTCACCCAGGTTGGAGTGCAGTGGCATGCTCACAGCCACCACAGCCTTGACCTGTTGGGCTCAGACATCCTTCCACCTCAACGTTCCAGGTAGCTGGAACTACAGGTGCTTGCCACCATGCCCTGCTAATTTTTTGATTTATTGTAGAGATGAGGTCTTGCCAAGTTGCCCAGGCTGGTCTTGAACCCCTGGGCTCAGGTAATCCTCTCGCCTCCACCTCTCAAAGTGCTGGGATTACAGGCATGAGCCACCAGCACCTAGCCAGAAACACAGAATTTCTAATTTAGCCTTTATATCAGGGAGTCATAAGGACCACTAAGGTTCATTATACATGGTATTCTTTGAAAAGGATTGTTAATGTTATGGAAGAAAACCCTGACAGAGAAGACATCATGAAAATTTGGAAAGATTATACCATTGAAGATGCCATCACTGTTATAGAAAATATTATGCAAGCCGTAAAGCTCCAGGTAATAAATTCCTGCTAGCAAAAGCTATCCAGATGTTGTGCATGACTTCACAGGCTTTACAGTAGAGCCAATCAAGGAAATCACCAAAGAGATTGTGGATATGGAAGAAGAGGTGGGGGACATGAAGGGTTTAAAGATCTGGATCTTGGAGAAATTCAGGAGTGAATAGACACCACACCAGAGGAATAACAAAAGATGACTTGATAGAAATGAGTGCTTCTGAATCAGTGCCAGATGATGGAGAACACGTAGAAGAAACTGTGTCAGAAAGCAAATTGACATTAGACAGTTTGGTACAAGAGCTCCAATTACTTGAGATTGCACTTGACTTCTTTTATGACATGGACCTTCTGTGATATTGGCACTGAAACTAAAGCAAATGGTAGAAGAAGGATTGGTACCTTATGTAAGTATTTTTAGAGAAATGAACAAGCAATAAATTGAGACAGATCACAATATGTGTATGTATTTTTTGAGTTGGAGTCTCACTCTGTTGCCCAGGCTGAAGTGCAGTGTCACACTCATGGCCTCCTCAACCTCAACCTGCTCATCTAAGGTGATCCTTCTGCCTCAGCCTTCCAAGTAGCTGGAACTACAGACACACGCCACCATGCCTGGCTAATTTTTTGATTTATTGTAGAGATGAGGTCTTGCCAAGTTGCCCAGGCGGGTCTCAAACCCATGGGCTCAGGCAGTTCTCTCACCTCAGCCTTCCAAAGTGCAGGGATTATAGGTATGAGCCACCGCCCCCAGCCTCACAATTTATTTTAAAAGTTACACTAAGTATGCCTGCCTCCCCTTCTACCCTCTCCACCTTTTCTGCCTCTACCACTCTTGAGACAACAAGAGTTGTCTACTCAACTTGAAGATGAGACGAAGTCCTTTATGATGATTCAGTTCCATTTTATGAATAGTAAATATATTTTCTTTTTTTTATTTTTTCTTAGTCACATTTTCTTAGAGATCTCTAGCTTACTTTATTGTAAAATACAGTATCTAACCCATATATGAAATGTGTTTTAATTAACTGTTCATGTTATCAGTAAGGCTTCTGGCCAACAGTGAACTGTCATAATTAACTATTAGTAATTAAGTTTTTGGAGAGTCAGAAGTTTTCGACTGCGCAGGGGGTTGGCACCCCAACCTCATCATCGTTCAAGGGTCAACTGTACTTGTCGTAGTTCTATTTGTAGTACAATCTGGTTGAAATAACCTATGAACTTTAAATTTTTTCTTGAAAAGCAAATAATTTTCCTGTAGAAACAGGTTATTGTCAGCTCTGAAATCAAACTGGTTTTTTCCTTCTCACTCCCAATACACACTCACTCTCCCTCTTCTTTTTTTTTTTTTTTTTTTTTTTTGAGATGGAGTCTCACTCTGTCGCCCAGACTGGAGTGCAGTGGCTGCTCCCGGCCACCGCAGCCCCGATCTGCTGGGCTCCGGCGATCCTTCCACTCAACTTTCCAAGTAGCTGGAACTGCAGGCGTGCGCTACCATGCCCGGCTAGTTTTTGATTTATTGTGGAGATGAGGTCTCGCCAAGTTGCCCAGGCGGGTCACGAGCCTGCAGGCTCAGGCAGTCCACTCACCTCAGCCTCTCAAAGGCGCGGGATTACAGGCTGAGCCACCGAGCCCAGCTCTCATTCTCCCTCTTAATGCTTTTTTTTTTTGAATTGGAGTCTCACTCTGTCGCCCAGACTGGAGTGCAGTGGCCGCTCCTGGCCACCACAGCCTCGCCTCCTGAGCTCCAGCAATCCTTCCGCCTAAGTCTTCTGAGTAGCCGGAATTACAGGCACGCGCTACCACGCCCGGCTGATTTTTTGATTTATTGTAGA